ATGTGTGTGTTTGTTTAGTGCCTACAATGTGGCCCCGAAGCACTACTGTAATGCATAATAATTAATAATGTACCTTCCACTAAGAACACTCTGTCCCCAGATAAAAGCTAACTAAAGATAGACAGCTCAAGAACCCAAGTTGATTAGTTGCTAGAATAAGACATGAAATGATGGACTTTCCAAAGAGAGGATTTTCTACTAGAAAGAGATTTATGGTTCAAAACTAACACCCAGCAATAAGAGAGAAGCAAGGGCATTCTTCAGATTTTGTACCTTCCACTAAGAACACTCTGTCCCCAGATAAAAGCTAACTAAAGATAGACAGCTCAAGAACCCAAGTTGATTAGTTGCTAGAATAAGACATGAAATGATGGACTTTCCAAAGAGAGGATTTTCTACTAGAAAGAGATTTATGGTTCAAAACTAACACCCAGCAATAAGAGAGAAGCAAGGGCATTCTTCAGATTTCAGATACAATACACTCAGTGCAAGCACTACTGATAACTAAACTAAAAGCTGTGTGGTGCACTATTTAAGTGGTCCTCAACTGTAGTTTAACAGAGGGTTGTGGTTATGCATGGGTGTTAAAATTCTACATTGGTGGGAAATCTTAGACAATTATTTAGCATTAAACAGGTGTGTTCTTGCTTTTCTGGGATTAAACATTTAGTAGTACTATTTTAGAGTATTTTACTTTTGTGCTGTTAATGTCTTCACAGTACCTGGAATAAATGGACAGTTTGCCAAGCTTATGGAATCCAAAGGATACCTCTTTGTATCTGCCAATGAGATAAGTATTTGTGAGTAGTGCACTATGATCTTAGCAAATTTATAAACATTGGAAGTTACTATTAAAATTGTATACTTTGAAACCAATACAAAAATAAAGCTTGATCATTAATTAGTTCCCCATCTGACAGAGCTAAGATCTTTTCTGTAATTTTCTTGAGTGTAATTGGATGTTACTTCATAAGATGGGCACTATTTTCTCATCTACGCAGGAAAAAATAGGAATGGGTATTTTCCATTACCCCTTCAAGAACTGTGTGTAAACTCCTTTGCCTGGATGGAAGATAGCACTCATTTGTTTTCCCATGTTAGGATAAAACAACAACAACAACAACAACAACAAAAAACCACAGCCAAACAATTTCCTTCATACTGATAAACTTTGATTTTTAGCTTCCTAGTCAATTAGCATAACATTTATAAATAGATGATCTAAATATACTTTAATAAAAATGAAATATGTAGAATTAAATACAATGAAATATTAAGAAAATAAATGTAATTACTGCTATACACAAGAAATAAATTCCATAATCAAGAACACCAAATATAATGCAAACATCTATTCGTAATTGCTGAAGTCATCAAAAACTACGCGAGATGAATGGTTAGAAAGATATGAGTTTAAAACAAGTATACTGAATTATATATATATATTCCTTCTTAAAATCAGTTTAATAGGAAATGGGATAAAAACTGTACATTAACTCGTAACAAAGGAAAAAAAAGATACCTGCAAGAGGCAAAAGGGAAGAAATAGTTGCATATGCAACTGAGAGCACCAGTGAATCAAGGACTATTCCATCTTCACTAAAGAAATCATCACAGGTCCATTCTTCATAAGGATCCTTATCAGCTCCAAAAGATGCCGCCTAAATTAACACATTGCAAAAAAGCTCCATAAAAGGTATTCACTAAAAAGTATGCATAATCGTAAAACTAATAAATTGATGTCCTTACAGATCAAGTTTGCAAATTCAGGAAGATACTCATGTTTGAAAATGTAAGATACTTGTTTTGCTAACTGTTGTTAGGCCTCAACAACAAACACCACCAGCAATAACAAAGGGATAGGGTCAAATTGTTTCCAAATTCTACATGTATTAATGAAAAAAAAATCCATTACCCACGTACACATCATTGTACAATCGCATCAGTTTTTGAAAAATATTTTTCAGAATCAGTGTTCTATGAGTTCTAGCTGCCTGGCAGCAGAAATTAATAAACATTAAATTATCAGTTTTAATAATGGTACACAAATAGATGTTTTGGCAAGATAAGATGCACCATACAGACTACAAAAATTTTTTACTTAGAGGAAATTAGTTATATTTTGGTCTGGATGGCAGAAGCTGATTAGCACCTATAGTTTGATATTCCTTGGCAAGTTGGCAAAATACACAAATAGTAAATATTTCATAAACCATTGAAAGGGGAAAAAGGTAAGTGTCAAACTGTTCAATTTGAAAGTTGTTACCTTTGATATAAATCCACGGTTTTCTATATGGCATTGCCTGTATATTTCCTTGACAGCCAATGTATATTTACATAGCTCCAGAGAATCTAACAACATATCTGTGAGAAATTAAAATTATTGTCATTGTTATGTAAATTATATATTATATTATAAAGGGAAAGCACCATTTGGTAAGTGTCACCCATTTTTAAAGGGGCATTCAAATTCACTTTTTGTTTTCATGTTTCATAGAAAAGTAATTTATCTAAAAACCTATTCTTCCAACATGAAAACAACTAAAAAATGATACTGAATTACCTGGACTGCATATTGTAGCTGCTTGGCATGCCATCTCATGTATCACAGCTGGAAAATTCAGTCCTTTAGCTGTGATCTTTGGAACACTGGCTCCCAACATATGACAAAGTTTTTGACAAGATAAAAATAGCAACTTCCCTGTTTCTTCATTACAGTAGTTTTCATATAAATCGCTTTAATGAAAAAAGGGGAAAATAATCTGTTAAATTCAGATCTAAGATCAAAACCATAACTTTCTTATGAGGCATTAATATTAACCCAACAAAATCAAAGTAAATTAACTCACCAATAGGTGGTGCTGCTGGGACTGAAATATGAATCAAGAAATATGCAAGAAAAAGGACAACTAGTACCATACTTTGTATAAAACTACTGATTATTGTGAAATTAGTTTATTGGAAGTTAAAATATTTTAGTTTATCTTACATTTTGTACCACTTTCAGGAAGATAATAAGGTACCTGAGGGACCTAACTAGAGAGGCATAACAATCAAATGGTTTCAGCTACCAAAAGTAGGACAGATTAGGATTTGGGTGGTTTCCATGAATTTACAGGATTCTAGAAGCTCAGCTATATACCGTGGCAGGCTAATATTGTCTACTTGGATTTTTCATCCAATACAGCAGTATTAAATCACTAGAATAAACAAATAGCCTTGTTCAACTGTATCACTGAGATCTTTTACTTTGCTGGGGGTTAGGACAATTTAACTGTCTAATTAGTGGTGTGGGTTTTTGCACCCTTAAGTTGACTCAGCAATATCGCCTAACACTTTTAAATTTAAACTTAACCTTTGTAAAGAGGATGGGACTAATGACCATATTATGGAAAAACACATCGGGAGACTCCAAACAATCCAAGGTGAACTTAATCTTGTAGTCAGCATAACACAGTGTATAGTTTAAGTGGATCTACCATGTGGTTCCTTTTCCCTCTACCTGATCTTGCCTTTGCATTACAGCTGCTGCAGAGTATCAGAAAGAGTTCACTGCATTTTTTTTCTTATTTTAATATTACCAATCCTAAACTCTTCTGAAATTTTACCTGCATATCTTTATTGCCTCTTCAATTTTTCCAGCATCTAATGATCTCAGTGCCAGCATTGCCCCCAACTCTTGCTCTGTCATTTGCAGAAGCAAACCTAGTTTGTAAAGTCTTAATTCAATGGAACAGTTCTTTGTTTTACTATCATCTTCAGAATTCATTGCTTGCACATCTCTAGATTTTGCCATGGACTCGATATTTTCATAGGCTTTTATTTGTTCTTCAAGAAGCTGAGATATCAATGAACGATTCCCATAATCCTTGACTGAAATAAAGATATCAAAATCCTCCTGCAACAAAAAGTAAAACAGAACAAATACTTCTTACTCATGTGACTTACTTTAGAAATTGAGTTTAACTTTTCACATTCATTGCCTCACAGATCTATTTCATCACAACATCAAGTTTATTAGTTCACATCAGTCAGTAGAAAACCAAATGTAGATTATAGAATATAGCTAATTAATATTTAAAACAAAAAACAAAACAAACAACACTTTTTGATGCTATATATTTTCTTTAACCGAAGTGTTGGAGCATAAGCTTTCGTGGGCAAAGACCCACTTCATCAGATGCATCTGACAAAGTGGGTCTTTGCCCACAAAAGCTTAAGCTCCAGCACTTCTGTTAGTCTATAAGGTGCCACAGGACTCCTTGCTGCTTTTGCAGATTCAGACTAACACGGCTACCCCTCTGATACTATCTTTTGTTTAACTGTGTAATATTTCCTAATATATTAAATATACTGGGGTATGTCTAGGCATACCGCAATTGCAAATGAAGCCCAGGATTTGAATTTCCCGGGCTTCATTTGCATAAGCGGGGCGCCGCCATTTTTAAATCCCCGCTTGTTCGAACCCCGTGCCGCGTGGCTACACGCGGCACGAACTAGGTAGTTCGAACTAGGCTTCATAGTTCGAACTACCGTTACTCCTTGCGGTATGCCTACATTACCCTCCTATTTCGAAATAGGAGGGTAGTGTAGACATACCCCTGCTGTTTACTATGCAAAAGGGGATCAGTTCTTGATACCATCCAAGAGTATTACAGCACTATTAGAAAATCTTTGCTGAGAACAGCGATGTAAAATCCCGGTTAATCAATTAAACGTTTATGTTTAACAGATTAAAGGAGGGTAGGCAGGACTGCTGCAGCCAGGCTGGATCCACTGCAGATGAGAACTGCTCCAGCTGGGCATTCGACACCGCTTCCTACATCTCCCATTGGCTGGACACTGTCAGCACATGATGGCATAAATTATATTTCTGGATGAGCGGGAATAATTTATGCCATCATGTGCCGGGAGTGTCTGTCTGCTATGTACATTAGACAAACGTCTCAGACACTTCGCCAAAGAATCCATGCACACAAAACAGATCAGACAGTTTTAAAGAATCATAGAATACTAGGACTGGAAAGGACCTCGAACAGTCATTGAGTCCGGTCCCCTGCCCTCATGGCAGGACCAAATACTGTCTAGACCATCCCTGATAGACATTTATCTAACCTACACTTAAATATCTCCAGAGATGGGGTTTCTACAACCTCCCTGGGCAATTTATTCCAGTGTTTAACTACCCTGACAGTTAGGAACTTTTTTTAATGTCCAACCTAAACCTCCCTTGCTGCAGTTTAAGCCCATTGCTTCTTGTTT